GAGAAAGGAGGGGGGTGAGAGAAATTAGGAGGGGGTGAGAAAGAGAAATTGGGAGGAGGAGAAGGAAATTGGAGCGGGAGGAGAGATTGACATTCATCACATACACACAATGCACCCCTTGCACACAGACACACATACACAAGCAATGCAACCGTTACACACAATGCATCCCTTACACATACAGAAACACACAATGCATTCATTACACACACACAATGCACCCCTTACACACATTCAATGCATCCCATACATACACAGAAACACACCTTGCAGTCCTTACACATACAAACACAATTTCACACAATGCATTCCTTATACACATATCAGGACATCCCCTACACACTCCACCCCCTGTGAACAAACTCATTGGTGGAACATGAAGGTGCACCCTGGGACCCAGACTTTGAGCTGTGTAAAGGACCCCCCAAAAATGGAGCTGCTTCCCGTTCTCCCAGAACATTGATTTTTGTGACCACAGTTACAAACCGCCTCCAGAGAGCCTGTTCTGCACCAGACCAGTGGAGCCAGACTGCAGCAAGAGCCCATCATCATCCTCATCTGGTTGTAAGTAGGCAATCTAGTATATTATTTGTGGCACTAATCTCTAATTTACCTCACATTAAAGGGACACTATAGTCCCCAGAACCACTACAGCTTAATGTAGTGGTTCTGGTGTCTAACCTGTCCCTGCAGGCCGTTTAATGTAAACACGGCGGCACTGCAGCACTGGTGTTAGTTAACATGGCAGATCATATGGGTGGGGCATTGTGATGTCACATGGGGGGGCGACAAACTTTACTTTTGCCTAGGCTGACAAAATCCTTGTACCGGCCCCTGGCTGGAGGGGCTGTGTGAGCCATGGCACAGTGTCCCATAATTGGATTAGGGTGCGTACGTAGTACAACTCCTCAAGCAAACAACTGTCTAAACTAGCGCCTGGAGTAAATGTGTATGTGTGACTGTCTGCCTGTGACTGTGTGTGACTGCCTGTAACTGAGTGTGTGACTGTCTGTCTGTAACTGAGTGTGTGACTGTCTGCCTGTAAATGTGTGTGTGGGGCTGCAGGGATTTTGTAGAAGGGGTAGGGGGTTTTGTATTGGGACAGGAGTCTTTATAAGGGGGGATAAGCAGGGGATTTGTGGAAGGGGGTTGTGGGGGTTTTGTAGATGGGGCAGTACAGGATTTGTAGAAGGGGCAGGACAGAGGTTTTGTAGGAGGGGCAGGGCAGGACAAGGGTTTTGTAGGAGGGGCTGACAGCGGTTTTGCAAATTTTACAAATTGTAAAAATAAAAGAAATAAAACTTTTAACATTTTTTACAGGTTTTTTTTTTGGGGGGGGGAGGGGGGTAGGGGGGGTGCCAAGCACAGGATCCGCCCCGGGTGCCAAAAATGCCTGTGGGTACGCCCCTGGAGTGTGACTTTAAATGCAGGTGTGCTTTTTGTGTGTAGTGTTGGTGTTTGAATGAAGGGGTGTTTGTAGATCATTTTAGTGTTTTAATGCAGCGGTGTGTTTGTATGTAATGTTTGCGTTTGATTGCAGTGTGTGTGTGTGTGTGTAGTGGATGCAGTCAGTGGTGTATCCTGGTTTTGTGCTGCCCTAGGCAGAAGGGGATACAGTGTGGGGAGAGGGGCAGGGAGAGCAGGGGTTACAGTGGGGGAGTAGGCAGAGAAGGGGTTGTATATAAAATATAAAGATTTACTCACTTTTCCTCCATTCAAGAACCAGTTCGTGAGTGTTACTCTTCGTATAATACCTACCTACTGGCCGTCCCCCACTCTGCCTCTGTTCTTCTTTGATTTGCCCTGTTTAGGAAGTATTCTCAAGCAGGGCAAATCTCTTCAGTGACATTGGCAGGCTGGCTATGTTGTTAGCGTGCCGGTTTCTGAATGGAATGACATAACTCCATTCCTATACTCCCTACCTGGCACTTAGGAGTTTCCATAACAACTGCAGCACATACACTGTGGTTTCTATTAACCATAGGATTCTAATAGAGTGCTTGCAGCACATCTGTGGTCTAGGATGCACAGTCCTTAACTGGTTTAAATCTTTCCTCACTGGTAGATCAGAGAGTAATATCAGGATTAAGCTGAACAGCACCAACATAATTGACCTTCGGAGTTCCACAAAGATCCATCTTGTCTCCCATACTATTCGCAATTTTAACACTAGGGGACATCATTAGGCAATATGGCCTAATGTATCATTGTTATGCTGATGACACACAACTCAACTTCTCCTTTGCTCCAGATACTACAGCTCGAACATGCCGCATCAACAGTTGCTTAGCAGACCTCATAGAATGGATAAATGCGTGTTGGCTTAAAGTGAACCCAGACAAAACAGAGTTACTCTTGGTGAGGAGACGCCAGGTAACAAAAATATCCCGTGATCACCGAACTGGTCTGAAGCTAGGAGACTCGGAACTTATTGATTCATCCAAGGTACGAAACCTTGGAGTGCTGATTGACTCTGGATTATCATTTAAACAGCAGATTTCCTC